TCTTTTCCTTGTGGTTATTGCCTCTACCCACCCACCCACCTCCACGCACACAAAATACGTGCGGAAAGGAAACTTCAAAGTCAAGGAACGCGAAGAAAAGAAAAACCTCTACTTTTTGTAGACGTTCATTGCTTGCACGACTCAATCCGAGTTGAGTGACGAAGAGGCATCGCGGAAGTGGGACCGTTGAATTCTAAGAGAGTGAAAAGCAGCAGGATGTTTTATGTTGACGCGTGCAGCCAAAACTACCGAATGCCCAACTCCGCCCCGGTTTTTTCCCAGGGTTTTCCTCAACCGAACCGGGCACCGTCTTTGGTTTCCCCTAACGACGTTCAAAATGGTACCAATGATGGCCTGGTGAATCCGCATCAGGCACCCCTGTTTGCCGTCTCCCAACAGGGTTCAGTAGTTGCAGCAAGTGTTCTTCCACGCACAGTGTTGTGGACAGCGAACGGGATGTACGGCGTAACGCAGATGAGGGAAGGCCCCGAAGAGGGAGCAACTCGATTCGTCCCATCAAAAAGTCCCGATGGAACACCCGTGTCAGCGATGCAGTCCATGTTTCTTCCGCCGATGCAGCAACAACAACAAGCTTCCAATTGTCCTCTTCTCTACATTTTGACGACTGTCGCAGTGCCACAGACGTATCCGCAGACCTCTCTACAAGAGCAGAAGAGCCAACATGTCACCCCTGTTACGCACCAAATTATTTCAATGAAAGGCCCCAGCGTTGCACCATCGCAATCCATCGGCATTAACACTCTAAACCCTTCATGTATAACGAATAATTCTGACGCCATGCAGACATGTGGGTCTGGCAGTAAAGTGAATGTCAATGTGGTGTGTCGCCATTTCATAAAAAGTTGCTGCAACCGCAGAAAGTGCCGTTTCCTGCACACGCTCAACGAGGCCCCGCTCGCTAATATTTGAGGGATGTGAGTGCGAAAAAAGAGGACACGAGTCGGTCATGGCGTCGGGGGGTGACCTTATCACTGTTTCTGGGAATAACCAAGGTGGGGGCAGGAGGAGGAGGAGGAGGAAGGTGGAAAAGAAAAACAATGAAGAAAAAAAAAAGAAGGCGGTACTAAAGAAGGGTTAGGGTGGAAACAGTGAAAGGGAACTGAGTGACGAAAGAGATGCGCCGTCCTTGTGTATTTTCCATCTGAAAATCGGAAGAAAAAAACAAAAAACGAAGCAGTTTATCAAAACAAAATCGGGACAAGTTCATGTTTTTGTTTATTTTATTTTATTTTTGATTTTTTTGTTTTTGTTGGGTTCTTAATGAAGATTCTTCCTTTTTTTTTTTTTTTTTTTCCTTTTTTTCTGTGGGTGTGTGTGCCCGAGGGGGATTGGCAGCCACGCCCACACATGCTGTGGCTTGTGTACCCCTTCACGCTCGACTGGCGAGGGGGAGCAAGGCCCAAGAAGAGAGAGAGAGCACAAGGGAGGAGGCAAAGTGGAAGCCCCCCACTCCCCCTGTCGTCGAATTTGTTTGGGCAAAAAAAGAGCGCAGCAGCGGGAACGCCCCAGAACAGAACAGAACCGAACAGAAGAAAAAAAAAAAAAGAATTTAATTGAATCAAAACATGAGAACACATTTTTGACGGAGAAAAAAAAAAGGAAAGTAAAAAAATGGTTAATAAACCTGCAGAAGCAAAGAAAAAAAGAAAAAGAAAATAAAAAAAAAAAAAAAAAGAGAAGAGAGAGGAAGAGAAGAGAAGAGAGAGTATTAAAAGTGGAAGAAAGAACAGTGGGAGAGTAATGCCAGATTCATACCCCATCCATCAATAAACATTTTTGATTGTCCCCAGTTGGGAAGGGGTGGGAATGTGTTCAGCTTACTGCGTTATACAATGTGTGAAAGGTGTAAAAAGAGAATATACATGTATACATATGTATATTTATGTATGTATATGGGTGGAAACATACATAATAAAAACGATGGAATGAAATGCGCCTTAGATTTGACTCCCGTACTCTTTTCAACTTTCAATTTGCATACATGAAAGGGAATTGAAGGAAGAAAACGAAAAAAGAAAAAAAAAGAAAAAAAAGTGAGGGGGATGAGGGGACAGAAACAACGAAAAGAGTGAGTGGAGATAAATAATAGGGAGGGAGGGAAGGAAGGGAAGGGGTGGGGCGTTAGCGATGATGATGATGGAAGGATTGGTTTCATTCCTCTTGTTTTTGATTTGATTTTACCACCCTTTTATTTGTTGATGCCCAAATTTCCGTTTCTTTTTTTTATTTTATTTCATTTTTCCTTTTTATTTTATGAAGGGGTGGGGAGGAAAGAGTTCTGCACCTATTTTTTTTTTTTTTTCTTTCTTTGTTTGTTTGTTTTTCTCTCTTTCTTATTGTACGGTGACTGTGGAGAGGTACGCCTTTTTGTTTTTATTTCTTGTTGTTGGAGTTAACTTGCTTTTGTGTTTTGTGAGTCTTGTGCTTGTTTGTGTTTGATGCTGTTTTTTTTTTTTTTTTTGTGTGTGTGTGTATGTTTGTGTCTTTTTGTGTGTATTTTTTCCTTTTGAGGGCTTTTTTTTTTTTCTTTGCCGTATGTTGAGCCTGTCCCGCTTGTCTTCCTTTTTTTTTTTTTTTTCAAAAACATTTTTGCAGCAGCACCAACTCTATACGTGTATGCGGCGGGGGGGAGGGGAGGGTACATGGACGCACGATTGCATGTGCGCATGACTTTCTACTTTCGGAGTTTATTATTCTTTTTTTTTTTTTTTTCTGTTGTTGTTGTTGTTGTTTTTATCTCTTTTATTTTTATGTTATTTTTATTGAGGGGATGGGAAAGGGAGGGGGGTTCTCGCACATCTTTTCCTCATTTGGATCACCAACTGCTTTCTCTGTGGTGGTTATGGCTGTAGCGATGAAGTGGTAGGAGTGAGGCATGGCTTTCTATGCAATGGTGTATTCACTGTCAGTTCTTTTCGTGTTTTCTTTTTTTTTTGTGTGTGTTTTTCTGTTTGATTTGATTTTGATTTTTTTTTTTTTTACAGTCATCATTCTTTTTGTTTCAAAAGTTTATTTCCATGGACATTCATTCTTTTGTTGTTTTTTGGAGAAGGAGGGGGGTGCACGAGCATCGTCGATGTCATCCAATTTATCACTGGGAATAAAGTAGCGGAAAAGTGATGAGTTTGGTGGGGGAGCAGGGCGGAGTTTGGGCGAGAGTGGCGAGTGCAGTAGACGATATTCCTTCTTGTTTCCTGTTTGTTTGTTTCTTTTTTCCCTGTTTCATGTTGCCCAGCTCTCTGCTTGGGTGTGCTGTTGTGCACTACGCAAGCGATTTGCTTCTTTTATGTTTTTTTTTTTTTGTATTTTGTGTTTTTTTATTTTTTATTTTGATTTTTATTTGTTTATTTTTGGCTGCTCTTACTGCTGTGTGCATGTACATGTGTTATGTGTTTTTGTGTGTCCTGTTCATGGTGTTATTTTTCCTTTGGGTGCGTTTTTCTTTAATTGCCGATGTGGACACGTCTGCCCGCGTTTGTGTGCGTCACGCTCGGCTGCGGCTGTGGCGACACGTACAAGGCACACGACGGGGGAGAGACGCGTGCACGTCCCTGGCACGATTGCACCCCACCGGCGACAACGCGCGCGTACAACAGACGCGCAGCGCATCACCGGGCACAACACAACGCACCGGCATAAATTAGAAGACATTTTACATGACGAGGGGATGAGAAACGAAGGAATAAAAGTGAGGGAGGGGGGGGAGAACAAACAAACAAACAAAAAGAAAAGAAAAAAAAAAAAAGAGAGAGAGAAGGTGAGGAAAACAAAAAAGAATTTTGGTGGAAGAGGAATAAAACCCAAAGGGAATGTGGTAGAGTGGAGGGTGAAATATAAAAAAAAAAAAAAAAGTAGGAAAATAAAAATAAAAAAAGAGAGAATAGAAAAAAAGAAGACTCGGATGAGACAATCAAAAGTAAACATTTGTGGCTTTTCGCGGCAGATGCAGAACGCCACATTGAGGGATGAGTGTGAATAATTGTGCGATGAAAAAAAGAAAAAAAAAAGTGGCACGTACACTGCTGACGAGGGCACGTGCTATAGATATACAATAAAATACATTGCATACATAAATATATGTTTTTTTCCGTTTTTGTGTGCTGTTTGTCAGTGCGTTAAAAAAAAGAAAAACAATCAAAAAGAAAAAAAAAATTTATTTGTTTTTTGTTTTTTGTTTTTTGTTTCCTTTTGTTTTCTTTTTTTTTTTGCACTTTTTTATGCCTATTTTTATTTATTTTTTATTTTTTTTTTTTTTTTGTATGCGTGTCGCTGGCTTTCTGGCCACTGTTTGTGTGTTTCCTTTTTTTGTTTACCTTTTCTTTTCCCCCTTTCTTTTTTTTCTTGTCATTTTTGCTTCACGCAACCACCCCTCCTTCAGCAACATGCCTTTTTTATGTGTGTTTATTTGCCTGCTCGTCCCTCCTTTTCTGCATATTTACTGGCGGTTCTTTTTTCCTACTTTTTAAAAAAAATTTTCTGCATGCACGTGCACCTGTGCGTTGCAGCCGATGCGTCTCCGCAGAGTTGCACAGAAGAAAGAAAAAAGGGGCGGATATTTTGTGTCGACACGTTGCAGGGAGGGAGAGTGGGGCGGGAAAGATGATCACTTCAGCCCCATTGCTGGCGGTGATGCTGCTTTTGTTGGCATTAGGGAGTCCATGCACCCGGGCGGAATTCCTGGGATGTCATTACGGCCTTTCCTTTGACCCTTCCATGACCTCGCTGGCGATAACGACGTTTTATGGCAGCACCGGAGGCCGCGAGCGATAGCCCAAGCAGTTTACCAGAGGCTGGGAAACAGACGAACCGTGTGCCTGGGACAACGACGCGAGGCCCCCATCCCACGCCCGCGGGTCTTTGCTGTGTGAATGGAATTCAACACATGTCACCCCCGGTAGCAGATAGGCGGCCTCCTTTTTCTCGAGGATTGCAGTGGCAAGGCGGAGGGCATAATTTCACGGGAATTCAAAGCCTTCCAGATGACAAGTGCACTGGGTCTTTTCTCCAACGAATTGAATGGAACTGTATACGACACGAACCATCACTGCTACATGCAAAAATTGGACTTGGCGCCCAATCGATTTAGCGGGTCATTACCGAAGTCATTGCCGACTGTGAGAAGCCTCGTTGCGCTGCTTCTTGAAAACAACCAATTTTCGGGCGAGACACCGGATTTGTCTTCTCTGCAGAATTTGCGACATTTCGCTCGGGCACAACAACTTCTCCGGCCGTCTAGGCGCATGGGTTTCACTAATGACGAATTTGGGATCGCTGGAGCTGCAATACAATCGCTCGGGAGGTCCTCTTCCAGAGCTGCCAGGGAAAATTACGCATGTAAACTTTTCCGGAAGCAACTTTTAAGACGATGTTCCCAAGAGCTACGGTCGACTGAGGTACCTGAGGTACTTCAATTGTACCGGTTGCAGTTTGACCTGCCCGCAACACTTTTTTCTTCCGTCATATCCGCCTCTCGTCATACTGAAAGGCAACTGAAGGAACAAACGTAAACGAAGAGTGAATTAAAATTGCTTGGGCCATAAAGAAGTGTTGGTGTCCTTTTTTTTTTTTTTGTGTGTGTGTGTGTGAGTTATTCTTTCGGGTTTATTTCACACAGAAACAAACACGCTTTTACTCTGTTTGAGAATAGGGAATGCGGAAGTCGTTTAACGCGTTATTTGTTGTCATTAACGTTACTTGTGCTGTTTTTGATCCACTCCTCCAAGGTGAGAAGAAACAACAAAGCAGTTATATGATGCCATCGTGGTATGTGTTGCATCTACCCAATTAAAAGCATGAACTTCTATCGGTGCCTTTTGTGTATATTTCTGTTATTGGGAATCACCGCCACTGTTTCTTTTCCTTTTCCTTCTTTTGGTTGTTGCCACTAAATAAAGGATCTTGCGTATATATTTAGATAAAGATGGACGCAAACGTTCCGGCCGCATTTTTGGCCAGCCTCGTTGGCAGCACAGTGCACGTTAAAAGCAAGTGGGGCCCGGTGTACGTTGGGACTTTGGTCAGTTGCGATCCATACATGAACCTTCAGCTGCGGGACACGGTGGAAAAGGCAAAGGAGGAGACGGAACTGGGAGAGATGCTGCTGCGGTGTAATAATGTGTTGTACATACGTGAGGTGCCACAGTAATAAATAATCATAGCGGTGTTGTGAGACCAACAAGAAGCCGCGAGGAAAGGAAAATAAAAATAAAAATAAAAAAAGAAGGGGAGAGGGAATATAAAATTATTCCCATTGAGTTGTTGTCATGGAGACGATGCAATCGCCACAATTAAGTGGAAGGAATCAAATTAGATGATCTTTTCCCGTGACGCGGTGGGGATAAGGATAGAAGGAAATAGAAACCAAACGGCTACGTATAAATATTCATGCCCATGTTATTACTGTTTATTTAGACATCCTTTTTTTTTTTTTGCTTGCTTCTGTTGTTCTTTTATTTATTTATTATTTTTGTTGTTTGGCTTTTTCTCTCTTTTTTTTTTTTTTCTTTGTTGTTGGTGGTGGTGGTGGTGCGTGCACTTGTGTGGTCACGCTGCCGGAATAAAAATCCTAACAGCACCACAGCCAGTGATAATCGTAAGGAGAGTTTTCACAAGAGACTCATCACAAATAAGCGAAATGGCGCACATTCCAACCAAGTGGGCGGAGCGTAAGGATAAGCTTTATGTCACCCTTCAAGTGAGCGGTGCCTCGGATGTCGACGTTAAGTTTACCGAGAATACGATCAGCATTACCGGTAAGGGCATCACGCCCAAGGCTTCCGAGCCACACGAGTTAAACGACAAGATCACCCTCTTGAAGGAGATTATACCCGAAAAGTCCAGCTTCAAGGTTTTGGGCGTTGCTATCCAGGTGTGTGCAGTCAAGAAGGAGGAGGGATACTGGAACAAGCTTGTGAACCAATCAAGCAGCAGCACCGCGAATTGGCTTTCCGTGGACTGGAACCTTTGGAAGGACGAGGACGAAGATGATGATGGCCCTGCGGGCTTTGGTGATTATGGTGATCTTTCGAACATGATGAACATGGGTGGCATGGGTGGCATGGACGGCATGGGAGGCATGGGAGGCATGGATGACTCAGACGACGACGATGAAGATGAGGCTCCGGCTCAAGCGGCCGACCTGCAGGACCTGGACGCGAAATAGAGAATTCCCCCTTGTGTCGTAGAGGGGAGAATAATTTAAGTGAAAGCTCACGGAAAAGGAAAAGAAAGGAATAATAAGAAGAAAAAAAAAATGGATAAAAAAGTGGCTGACAGAACGTGAATGGGAAAGAAGGGAGAGAGGAATAATGTCTGGTGTGGAGTCGGGGATGCAGAAGAAACAAAAATAAAAAGTTAAAAGATCTCATACCCTGAGCATTACATCAGACGATCAAAGAGAAGAAAAGGGTCAGTTGAAAATTTATGGATGCACTACGTCATTCCCCATATTTCGTGAAGTCTTCGCCTTCATTTTTTTTTTTTTTGAAAATATTTATTAATTTATTAATTTATTATTTATATTTATTTTATTATTTCGTCTATCAACCTATGAAGCAGGATAATTAAATAAACGTATATATATATATATATACGGGTGTCTGTAGGGGGCTATATGAACCAGGCACGTCATGATCACATGTAATCCACGTGCCTTTGGAAACACACCATCTCTGTGATTCATGTTGTTTTTCTTATTATTATTTTGTTGTTGTCGTTGTGGTTTGTTTTGTTTTTGAGCTCTGTTCTTTTGCTTTCCTCAGTTCCACGGTCACTGGGGGAGGAACACACTTTCACACACACACACACACACACACAAGCACAGGCACAGAGAAAAAGAGAAAGCGTGGGGAGTGCCCAACAGGAGGCGAAGGGACAGATTGATCAGAAAAGACATCAACGAAGAATTATAGTGGTGAATGGACGGGTATTCTCTTCTCGAGCGCCTTGACGCGTTTTTTAGTGAAGGGGAAAATACAGATGCGATTGGCAATTTTTTATCAGAGGAGCAGGGTGTCATGCAGCTGTTGGGCCAACCCACTGACTCACAAGAGGCGTTGGAGTTCTACTCCTTGTTTAAGAGGTACGCCGTGGTTGTGGATAACTTGCTTAACGCATTTATTGAGCGAGAATCCAAATTAGGATACGTCATCGACTTGGAGCAATTGGCTGCTGCAGTCATGAATGAGTGGCATCAAGAGCAAGATTTCTGTCGATATGTTTGCACGGCATATATTGCTGGTGCGTTGGACTTTGACTCCTTCAAGCAGCTTGTGGCTGATGTCAATGCGATAACCGCCTACCCCTTCGGGGATGAGTCTTCAGATGCCGACAGCGTGACTGAGACAAACACACAGGAAGAAGAAATATGACGAGAATGTGCCCTTTCTTTAGGCACTCTGGCGGACTCTCACCGCACAATTCTCTTTTTATTGACGGTGAAATTCCTCGAACCCAAAATCATCACCATACAGAGATAATATATATATAATTTCGTGTATTCAGTGAAATTAAAGAATTGAGTGCGTTCCTGTGTGTGCGTTTGTGAGGGAAGAAGTTACCGGCGCGTCGCCTAATGGTTGGAAACTTTTGATATCCTCTTGTGAATGTCTCTTGATTTTATGGCTTGAAGGGACGCATTTGTTAACCATTTGTACACCTCAATGTAGTGAAAAGCACACGTGCTTTTTCTCTTTGTTCTTTCTGTTAATTTATCCATAGTTATCTATATATCTGTCTGTTAGATACGTCTCTCCTGCATGGATGGATCCACTGCATTGTTCATTTGCCAATGGTGGTGGCTTTGCTGTGGAATTTAATCCCATAATTTGTCTTCGTTTGTATCGGTGCCGTGACATTGCTGCTCTCGCAACAGAAATCACAGATGCATTTGACCTCAGTGGTGTGGTTGTACCCCTTCGACCCGTGACGGACACGTACCTGGAGCAGCTCGGCACATCACAAGAGCTTGCACGTTGTCTTTCTGAACATGAAGAGCCTCATTTGGTCAGAAGTTTGCAGCCGACGGACTTTATTTCCTCTTTCCTACGCGTGGAAAACGTTGTTGTCGCCACGTCACTTGGCCTATGGAAAACGACTCGATACACCAATGAAGTTATTGAGGCTGCGCGGACCCGTTTTTTGCGTGGCGTGGAAGAAAAGCGTCGGTCGAAGAAGAGCAAACTCCCCATCCGACTTTTTTTCAAGTTTCTCAACGAAATGCTAATTGACGTTTTGGTCATGTCTACTGACAGGAAGTCGGTAGTTCTGTCGTGCGCTAGTACCACCCGTCGTTTGGCTATGGGCGCTGTTGCCGGCGAAAAAGTTACATCCGTGCCGAGTTTTCGTACCCTCCTTGCGCTGGAATTCAGCCCCAGTGAGGGGTACTGGAGCCCTTTGCTGCTCCCGGTGCAGCTTCAATCCCCAAAATTGAAACTGGATATTCCGGAAATTCGTGATGACACAGGCTCCTGTAGCAATTCAGATTTTCTCAAGCCACAAACATTGACAAGCATCTTTGGCGAAACGGCGCAAAGCTGCAACCTGGAGACGATGATGCTTGACCGAACTTTTTACAATCCGCAACGAATATCGGCGAAAACGAGTCGGGATTTGCAAACGCTTGAGGGGAAGGGGGATGGAGAGTCAACTTCAACACACTCACCTTTTACTGGTATGAGGTATCCCAACATCAGTCAAACGGACCTTCAGCTCATAGAGGTTTTGCGGCGCGGTCTGCACCCAGTTTTTCGTCGTAACCGTGTTCGATTTTTTGTCACGTTTTTTGTGGCAATAGCGGCATTTATTGTGGGTCTTGTGCTTATCATTTACGCTAGCGTTACCCTAGAGACATGCTGTCATCACGTTTCTTCTCGCGCCTGTTTGAACGGTGCGGAAGATCCGCCTAGAGATAACCGCAGTAACTTATTTTGCAGTGCTGCCAAGAATCCTGCACTTACAGAAGCAAATCAGTCATTTTTCTTTGGTCATCTCACAAGCCCCGGTGGGTTTCTTGTTGCAGCAATATGTTGTATGTTTGTGTCGTCTCTTCTGGCAGGAGCGGTAAGTTATTTCACGACAAGGGCAATCGCTCAGAAAAATTCGCGTCCTTTTTTTTACAAACTCATGGTGGCTTTTCATGTAATTCTTGGTGCGTTTGCGTGTGCCTTTTCCGCATACACGTTGTCTATTTTTTCCCATACAGTGCATGAGGTACCTTGTTCGTTGTTTAGTGGAACAGTAGCGGCTTCCTGCAGCCGTTTCCAAGCACTCTATCCGGAATTTACGATTGATGTTCGGGCTCGCCATCCGGTGCACGCAGTCTTTGCGTTATCTTTTATCTTTCTTTTTTTTTGCGCTGTGGAATTTTTTGCATCCTTGATGTCGCCTATGGTGGATGATGACATCCTGCATGCTTTGCAAAAGGCAAAGCCTGAGACCAACGTTTTTTACCCCAGTGTATACGCCCCTGATGGTATAACTGATGTGGAGAAACGAAAGCTGCGGGGACACATTGGGCATCTTCTTCATATGCAGCTTCAAAAGCAGATGCAGCAACAGGACACGCTCCTTACCCGGAATCTCACAATTGGTGAAATGATATTGGCCAAACGTGAGAAAAGTCTTATGGTTCGTCCGTCTCAGGGAAGTTTTGTCATGAATTCACGTCACTGGAATGAGGAGACGCCGCAAAATCCGCTGCACTACATGGCATACTCCGATAATACAAGCGGCGGAAGTAGCACGGACAGAGAGGAGGAAAGGAAAGAACTGGATGAAAGGGAAGAGAAGCGTGGACTGCCGCCTCGGCTACTTGCGGAGGTGGAGAAAATCAGTCGTCGTGTTAAAACATCGATGGATGGGAGAACAGATTTGGTTAAACCGCAGCTTCTCAGTGAATCACCCAAATAATTTTCTGTTGTTGTTGTCATTTTTTTGTTGTTGTTGTTGCTTTGGGGAGAAGAAGAGGAGGAGAGACTTTTTATGAGTATTGTAAAGATGTCATCATCTCTTTTTTTGCTTTTTCCTTCCCTTTGCTATCTTTTCCTTGCTTTTTTATTTTTGTCTGTGAAGAACAGAGCAACTGCACACGTTGAAATGGATGTGAAAATTAAGGGCGCACATTTAGTCGGACGTTGGTTGTGGGATTGTCGCAATGATACATGTGGTATATGTCGACAACACTTTGAGGCGTGTTGCCCACAATGCCGCTTTCCCGGGGATGACTGCCCCATTCTAACAGGGAGGTGCACGCACACATTTCACATCCACTGTATTGAACGATGGGCCGAGCGCGAGCAGGGGAATGCTGCGTGCCCCATGTGTCGTCAGCCGTGGGAATTTTGATGCGACAAGATTAACTGATCTTTGATGCAATGAATTTTGTTTCCTTCTGCCTCTTGCCCTTGCTTTTACCCCGCACGCATTATTGTTATGGTCATTAGTTATGCTTTGCTGCTGTTGTTCAGTGCTTCTTTTTTGTTGTTGTTGTTGTGTATTAAATTTTTCCTTTTTTTTTCTTTTTTGCCTGTTTCTCTCCTTGTGGATGTCGTTGGGACTACAGGAACTGCAGGCTTGTGGATGATGCAGCGGTCAAGTGTCGTTCTCGTGGCTCTGGTGACAAGGGCGAAGTCATCGTCAGGTGCGTTGAAGGGAGAGGTGGTGGGCGGAACGGAGTCGGAGCAGCTCTCCGCATATGTCCCATCCTCGTCGGAGGCGCCCGAGCTCCTGCAACCGTACGTGGAGCCGACACCGTTTGTTAGCGCGAGGCGTCTTCAAGTGTTTTTTGCCTCGATGGGCATTGGCGCCACCACCATCTGTGTGGTTTATTATCTCCTCAGCAAATCGATGAGCAACAATCATGAGGAAGAGCAGCGCTACTTGCAGCGCGTGGTGGAATCTAACCGTCTGGCAATGATGGAACCGCAGAGTCTCGTTCCCGAATTTACGGCCCCGAGTTCCTTCAATGAGCTGAAGGAAAAGATGCAACAGCATGAACGCGAGCTTGAGCGTAAGCAAGCGCAAATAAACCGTAACACCATTTTGCTTCATAAGGAGGTTGTGTTTCGTTTGAAGGTTTGGTGGAATGCCTCTCTTACACACATACAAGAGGCCTTTGATCGACTTGGGACGGTGATTCAGAGACGTAAGGAGCGTGCAGCAGAAGCCCACATCAAACGAATATTAGAAGAAGAGGGATACGACTTAGTGAAGCTGCGCAGTGGGAAAACACACATCTGGTAGGCGGATTGTTTGGGCAGCGCTCTCCTTGCGGACATACGGAGCGCGGAGATAGAAAGTGGAGATGGAAAAAGGGTCATGTTGATGGTGGGGAGTTTGACAAACACACACACAAAAAAAATGGTAAATGATGAGAGTGGAAGAGGGAATTATGGATCTCGTTACTGGATGAATGCGGATTCGAATGCGTCAGAGCAAATGTACGTTTTTCCCTGATTCAGGAGGACATTCCCACCACCATCTCCACCAGAAGCAGCGGTGTATTGTAACGGTAGCTGATGTTGACGTCATGTTGGATTTGCCTACTTTTTTTCCTTTTAAATTTTTTTACCCCTCCCCCACGGCCGGAGTAGTGAGTGATGGCACCACGAAAGGTTTCTGCGTGTTTTTTTTTTTTTTTTTTAGCAGTCCGATGACGAGAGATAAAAATGCTTCTAGCAATTATTTAACGAACATGGCATGTTTTTTTTTTTTTCTATTTTATTTTTTTTGCACTTTTTAAGGAAATAGGCTGCTTACAATGTTAGCTTTGGTAAAACGGCAATGCGGTCTGGAGAATAGCCATGTTTTCTACGGGGCCTACCATAGCGAGTGGCGAAACAAGCTGGCGGATATTTTTTGCATGCCGATCCTTTTTGTCGCCGCGCAGTATCTTCTCTCGCAAGTTGATCTGACATCTTCCGTAGATTTGTCTCATTTTACCGCTTGCCTGTTTGCGGCATTTTATATACATATATACATATGGATGGAGTTTTTTGCTGGCGTCCCGTAAGCCGTTATCATTGGAATAATTGAGTACTTTTTCTTGCCATGCCTGCAGTGGAGACCGTTGTTTTTAATTTCAAGTTATTTGGCAGGGATTGCGGTGTAATTCTTTACGCATTGACGTCTTGAGAAGCGGACACCGGCGTTGAGAATTTACCGCAAGCATCTTTTTTCTGTGGTTTGAGCTCCTCGTCTACTTTGGATACAGGCCAGACCTGAAGAACAAAATGGACGCAAAAGTAAGGGGACTGCAGGCTCATTTGGTTGCAACGAAACACAAGTCTCAAAAAATTGCATTGTTATGGAAAAGTGGGTGATTATTATTACTATTATTATTTTTTTAGGAGCTGTGTGAAGAGAAGGATTGCGGGAGAGCTGGCTAACTTAATTGATGCATATATGCATCCGGGTAAAACGAATACGCACTTCTTTACGACACTTTTCTACCGTATGAATTCTTGGAAGGCCACGACTTTTAGAAGGAGCGGGGAGCCGATAGCGGCCGGTTAATTATTTTTATTTTTACCGTCCCGCCCGCCCCCTTTTGATCCTTACCCTGCGGCGGGGTGGTGTGGCTGGAGGAGCCCAAAGTCTGCCACATCGTAAGTAATAAATAAATATATATGTATACCATCCGAATAGAGTGAACGGGTCACAATTGTGGCTAACGGATGATATAGGAATATATACACTTACTTGCTTTTAAGCTTTGAGGGTATGGTGAATCCATTCTTATTCAATTCATCCCTTTTTTTATTTCCATCTTGTCTGTTTTCTATTATTGATAAACTCAGGATTCGGCCAGCGGCCCAGAGGATTATTCTCTTTCCCTTTTTTTTTTTTTTTTTTTTTTTGGGGGGGGGGGGGGGGGTACTTACGGTGTTAAGAAATACTAAAGGAAGGCACCGTGTGAATTTCACTCTCTGTCTCTCTCTGTGTGTTTGTCTGTTTTTTTCCGATTCACATGTCTTTTTTTTTTTGGTATTCCTTTTTCAGGGATTAGAGATTTTTTGTGTCTTTCTGCATATTTAACGACTGCGCATGTCTCTGCATGCATTATTTGCGTTATATGGAATTAATTTGTGTATTCATGGCAAGCGAAAGAGAGAAATATTTCACTCTCTCACTTTTTTTTCTTTCTTTCTGCTTTTTTGTAACGTGTCGAGAATGTAAAGGAGGTCCGTGTAGCGGTAAATACGTTGGATGGACGCAACATCTTTGCCGCCAACATGCGGTGAGGTGATGGATATACCAGGCATTCCCTCAGTCGGATGTGTGGCTGTCCTGCAGTACGAGATGGGAACCGCCGCTGGCTTTTCTTGCTGTGTTGTGGCCTCGAGAGAAGAGGTTTACATATTAGGGCCGGAATTACTCGTGCGTGATGGCTCACTCATCTCCGTACGAATATGGCGGCCTCATGTGGAAAAGAAACTCACTCGAGTTATGTCGCTTGTAGCATTTCTTTTGCATCCGGCAGCTGATGAGGTGTCTAATGTTTTTCAAAAGCACAAGGTCGAGGCAGAAATTGATGAGGTTTGTGCCGTGGTGGCATGGGAAGACGATGATGGACAGCAGCAGCAGCACATCACAACCCTCTTCTTCTCATTGTTGCAAGCACTGTCCACCCCTCAGAATGTCTCCGTCAAGTCGTTTGAGACTTCATTTTTTTATGAACGCAACCAACAACGCGTTTTACGTCTTTTTTATAGTCCTTCCTTTTCTAGCGAGTTCCGTAAAGGCAAGCATGTTGTCCTCTGTAGCGGTTATGATGAAACTGTGAGGAAGCACGCTTGTCTTACGCCTAGTGAAGAGCGCAACCGTCATATTCTTACACCAGGGGATCCGCGTGGTGTTTTATCAGGTATTTTTTCATTTGTTTTGTGCAATTCTGTGGTGGAGAACGATGTCTGTAGGTGGGATGTGACGTGGACTACCCACGCTCCTGCGTGGGTTGCATCCTGGATATTGCAGTCTCCTTTTGATGGTGTTGTATGTTCTCTTGCAGTTCAGAAGGAGGAAGCGTCTTCTGTTGTGGCGGCAATTGGAAAGACGAATGGACAACTGATTCTTTTTAACGCTGACGGCACTCATGTTTCCCATCGCTTTGGTGGCCCCATTGCGGATCTTGCATTTGTGAGCACTCGGTGTATCAGAGGCGACGAGAGGTATCGTGTTTGTGCGGTCACGGAGCTCATAGACCAACAGAAGGAGAATGCATTCTCTAGCTTGAACAGAATACCCGAGTTGGAAGTGGCAGATGATGGGCGGAGAAGCCTTGTTCTTCTTGACAGTTTGGGCCGTGTTATTGTCCTCCGGGACGTAACGGAGGGAATGGCGTCGGCACAAATTGTTTCGGATATTCAACAGTTTATCACTCTTGCGGAGAATCGAGCCTCCCACCCGAGCAGCGGCTCCGTTGCGGGAGAATCTGCAGCTGGGCGCCCAGTTACCGTCAGTTCAAAGAGATTTTTTGATATTTCGTCACTTCGTCAGTTTTTTTACCGCGGGAAAACGAAGAGGATTCAAAAGGATCGACAGGACGACAAGGTGGACTCCATATCCACACAAGAAAGTGATCCCATTAGACAACCAGAGCAAGAGAACGGAATGTTCGCTGGTCATATTTTGAGCCGCGGCCTTCTCAGCCTTGCGTCGCTGCCAGGACCACGAGACTGCACCGAGCTCGTGGTGAGCACCATGGGCCAGTCCATTGTCTCCATTCCATTTGATAAGAACGAAGGTGTTTTTTCAATTGCGGGATTTATTGAAGCATCGGAGGCGATGTTTTTTATCGACTTCGTTGACTTTTTTAACACGGGGGTGACGGAGCTGGTGATGGCAGGGATGCATCAAGTGTTAGTTGCAAGGCGATCGCGTTGCCAGCAGAAAAGGAGGGCAGCGCTTCTGCTACGACTGTTAGCGAGGCAAAAGATGCAGGATGCTACGTCCGGAGATGCGTTGCTTGGGGGTAAAGTGTAAAAAAGTGAGGGTGAAGACAAGAGGGAAGGCAGAAATAATAACGATGCCACTTATGGTCTGGTGCGGCAGTGTGAATTACCGCACACAAACAAACGAGAATTCCAGGAGTTTTATTAAGCTACAGTTCCACCCGCTTTTTTGTACCTTTCAGCCTTTTTTTTTTCTTTTGTTTCTGCCTGTTTTTTTCTTTGCATCCAAAAATTTATTTGTTGCCATTTATTTAATAGCATGCTGGGGATCTCAGAATGAGTCTCTTGCAGCATTTAACCTTGGATGCTTGTTCCCTCTCGTTCTTTTTATTTTTATTTTTTGCCTGCGTGTTGAGGGGGGAGGGGAATATTTATTTATTTACCCACTTCCTTCTTTGTGTTGGATGTATGTTCCTTTTAGCGGAGGTGCGGCGACGGCTGGCCTATGTGACACGCATGCTGGCGGGACGGAACGTAAAACCGCGGCATTTGTCTCAAACCAAACGCGGGCACAAAGACGAAAGACAAAATGTGTTCAGTTGAGGTTTCTTATTTTGGCGTCGTGTGTCTTTGTAGCGATCACACTTGTCCTTGTCGCGCTGGTGCTGGGCGATGCGAAGAGTATTCCGGAGAAGGCAGATGTACGAAAGAACACGAGAGCGAATAAGAAGCAAATAGCTCCGGATTGTTGGGCAAGGCCAGCGTGGAACGTGTCGCTGGAGATGGACCGCGCCCGAATGAAAATAAAAGCGGGCACGGGTTTTTTTGCTAAGAGCATTGACGAGTTAACCCAACAGGTGCCGAACATCACAAAACTCAATAAGAGTTGTCACTTTGCCTATCCACTAAAAAGACATATCACACTTTTTGAATATGCGAGCAAAAGTGCAAGGGGAAAATATGGTCGAACTCCCGTGACATTTTTTGATGCACTTCAGCAGGAAGTTGAGGGCAGGGTGGTTCGCTTCTCGGAGTCGCTTCCGCGTATTGTGAAACAGACGCCGGTGGTTTTGTCGCCTTTTTTTGACATAGGGAAAGGGTTTGGTCTGTGGGGTTCTTTTTTTCTTGGCCACCTGCCCGCGGAAACTGGTGATCAAGCAGACTTTGGAAGCCATGGTGTGGACTGGTGTTTGCCTTTGGAAGGGGGGTACAGTGGCTCTCAGGTTTTTGGGCCACAGCCCCCATTGTACGCGGCCGTTTTCCCCAATGCTGTGGTTTCCAATAGTCATGTTATTACATGTAATGGAAATGTGTACACAAGTGGGGGTTGTCTGAGACGTTGGTATCTGCCAAAAATCCAAAGTACAAAAGAAATTGATTGGCGTGGTGTTGTTGTAGGCCTCTGCGATGAATGGTGTAAAGGATATTATCACTTTACACATGAGCATTTACCGCGTTTGGCGCTGGTGCATAAAATATTACTTGAAAGGGAAGACGCAATACTGGCACTTTATGCCCCCATTAAAAAATTTCAGCTACAGTGGCTCACAGATGTCCTTGGTATCCCGTCTTACCGTATACTGCGGAAGCCAGGCCCAGTGCATGGGCATTTGGTTCTTTACCCCATTCCAGGCGGTTGTGGGACGTTATTTACACACCTGACGTATGCGTTACGTGACATTGTCTTTGAGCGACTACAGTTGGTGCCACCCATTCCTTCCAAGAAGCGTAAACTTCGTCTTCTTTTAGCTGAACGTGAAAGACTGTCGAGGATGCCGTCCAATTATCGCCAACTGAAGAAGATGCTGTTTGAAGAATATAAAACGTTTTTTGATTTTGGTGTTTTTTCTGGCAAGCTGCATATAAGACAGCAAGTGCGCTATTTTTACGATGCGGACGTTGTTATTGGCCCTCATGGGTCCAATCTTGCCAACGCAATGTGGATGCGTCACGGCACACATTTGATGGAATTTGTATCGTACAAGTACGCAAACATGTGCTATCACACGACGGCGAATACCATTAATGTGACGTATCATGCCATTTTTCATAATGCTGAAAAGGAAGGAAGCTATGTCCTCTCTTATGATGAGGTAAAGCGTCACATGGACCATGCGGTGGAGAAGCTGCTCAAATCTCCGTGAGGGATTTCCCACTATTTTTGTTATTTTTGCTATGTATTTTTGTGCTTGTCTGTGTGTCTGTCTGTGTGTGTGCTTTGGGCGGGGGGAAAGGGGTTGTTTTTATTTTTTTATTTTCGTTGTCTCGTTATCCGCTTTTTGTTATTTTTTCCCCCTCTTATGAATGTGCCTTGTGCAGCTCTCCACTTCTTTTTCTTAATTTTTTTTTTTTCCTTTGCTGTTTTCTTCTTCCATTTTCGTTTCCACTCGGTACTTGCTTATGCGGATGCCTTGTGGCTCTGGGATAAGGCGCCACAGTAGATGAAGAGGGTTTCCGGCTCCAAATACAAAAAATTCTCTCAGGAAAATGCCGACTACCTCTGCCAAGAGGTGCAGCGGATGGAGGAGTCCCAGGTGTTTTACCCCGGCGCATTCGTAGAGGCACTGCGAGAGCTGACGGAGGTTCTCATATGGGGCGACAAGAATGCTGAGTCGGTCTTTGATAACTTTCTGGAGCGCAGTATGATGAGTACGCTTGAGCGTGTCGTGACAAACGCGGAATTCCCTTCTGCGGTGAAGGTCCAGGCTATTCAATGTATCACCATGATGCTGCAAAACCTAACACGAAAATCATCCATATACTTTGTGTGCAGCAACAATCATCTCAACAGGATCATATCAATTTTCATCGATGACAATGACGAAGAACTATTCTCCATTTACGTCTCATTTCTGAAGTCTCTGGCACTTCGTTTGAACGAGGACACGGTGCAATTCTTTTTCGAGCGTGAAACCCGCGCTTTCCCGCTTTTTGACAGAGCGTCCAAACTTCTTGCTGCACCGGATCCCATGGTCCGTGCGGCGGCACGACAAGTTGTCATTAGTGTCGCGCAGCTCAATGAGCCCGCCATTAAGAACTTTCTTAGAGACGCATTGCAGGAAGTGTTCAAGTTGATATCAACCCTCTTGTGGTCGCAAATTAAAAATCTGGCTGAAGCAGCAGCGGAGTACGGCAACGTGGAGCGTCACAATGCGAATGAATTGCATCTCATGGGTATTTCTACACTTAGTGATCGTCTGGAGGATATTGTGGACGATATGTTTTATATTAACGACCTCTTTTTGGTACCACATGACTTTGCTCCTTTCTACTTGGAGTGTGTTCTTGAAGAGGTTGTTATTCAGCCGTTATTGATGTTACTCGAGAATCTGCCTTGTGACATTTGCTGTTTTTCTACAAACAGTTCCTTTACCCCTTGTGTTTCCGCATCCGTTGCGCTTTCTGTGCTCACCCGATGGATCTTGTTGAATAAGTCGGAGCGGCTCCAACGTCTATTTAAAGAGGGACTGTTAAATCCCTCCGCTTCTCATGACGGTGTAATGAAACGTTTGTTGAAAAGTGAATGCGCAGAAGTTCTTTCGGGGGTTGTCGTGCTGCTGAAGGCCATGTTAACATCAGGGCTTCTTGAAAATGAAAAGAAAGGGGGAGGAAATGGTCCGACACCTGATGGCGATGAAACGGACAACGAAGATATCTCAGAGGAGGCGTTGGATGAGAAAGAGATGCACGTCATGACTGACATTTTCAATGTCAACTGGAGCATTGAGCCAGAACACGAGGATTCTTTTCCTCCACTGCAGCCGCTGTCTATGATTTCTTGCGAAATATTTCTAGGTCGTATGAGCCAACAGGTGGAGAACGCAGTGAGATGCCCGTGGTTTCATGGTCTAATGTCGGCAATCTACTTTTTTATCACGCATCCTGCATATACTCGTTTTTCTGTTTTTGAATTGGCGCTCAGTGTTCTTATGGATTTTGTGAAATGTAGGCGGGAGTGTGTTGTTCTCTTCCGGGGGCTCTTGTTTCTTTGCCTCTTTATCGTCCGGCGTCGGGCAGTCACGTGCGCCGAATCCTCGGCGTTGCGGCAGGATGGTACTGTCACTTCCGCATCAATCCCTGCTGCTGCTGCTGCTAGTACTACTCCCAATTCCGTTCATACGACAACCGCAGCCGGCAACAAAAACAACAAGAGTGCCGGTGCGTGGCTGAGAACTCCATACGAAGTTGTATTTATCAAACTGGAGCATGTATCTCATGAATTTGGCCTCCGTGAAGAAAAATTGCGTGGGAATTTAAGTAATGAGGCAAGCTTTTTGTTGCCACTCCTGCCCAGTCTTGATTTCATCAGATCCGAACGAGAGAGGGGAAGTAATAGCCCTCATTTTGATTGCTGGGACGTTGTGCTCCGCAACTTCCGAGAGTACATCGCGGTACAGAAAAGTGTTGCAGCGGTCGTTCCACTTCGAAATCGTGCCGCACATGACCAATCGGAGGAGGAGAAGAGTGAGTTTCTGATGTGGTTAACTATTCGTCATTACGCCCACAGGATGCTCAATAGAGAGGATGGGTTTTTGCTTAGACTCCGTGATTACGGTGTTCGCCACCACGTGGGGACGAATGTGAGCCTCTCACAGAGTAACACGGTTTATTTTCGCTGTGAATTTGTTAAGGGGCGCTTTCTTTTTGGCGCATCGTCACCTATGGTGGCTGCAGGCACACCGATGTACATGCTTTTATCTGAAACTGAAGTCCTTTTTCTTTGCGCAGGTGATGCGCTGCGACCAGTAACAGATCGGGGGGTCACACTTTGTGTTATGTTTGCTCTGCAGATGATTTACGTGCAGGCGCTGGTTTCGCATTCTCCATTTAGTGTTATAGTCACCCACGTGCACCCTGCCTCTCCCCTCCAGCTACATATTGTGTTTCGTCACCGAAAAGCAGCCGCTTCCGCTGTAAATATGATTACGGAACTTTCTTCCTTGTGCCGGTTTAGTGGAGCCGCACTTGTCTGCCGAGCACTGAACCAGGATGGAGCTTTACATGTGACGAACGAAGGGGTCTCCAAGGCACCGATGAATTCCTTTAATAATGCGTAAAAGTATTGAACTGTTTTGCGTCACTCTTCATCCTCTCGCTTTTATGACTTCGTGCGTGAGGAGCTTTGATATTGTCACGCTCCATCATTCTTTTTTTTTCTTTTTTTTTCTTTTTTTTTCTTTTTTTTTCTTGTTTCTCTTGCCGTGTTTCAGTTTATTTCTGCCCTTTTCCTTCTATACTCCTCTCATAATGTTGCTTGGCGTCGTTCCTGCAGGCTGGCGATGGTTGAATGGCGGCGGGCAGCCGTGTCAACTTCTTCCGACGGATTTCTGCTGTTGGTCCTCCTCCTCCTCCCGTCTTCTTGTCGCCCACTGCCATTGCGTCAGACCGCACGTTAGAAGAAAAAAGGAAAGAGAATAATAAACAAATAAATAAAAAGGGAAAAGCGAACCAAGCACAGGAGGGGGGAAAAAATAAATAAATAAAGGGAAAATCAAACTGAAACATTTGGCTGAAATCATTCTTTTACACGCGATATCTCCCACCATCACTGCGGCCGCTGACATCTGACAAATTTGGGCATTTATGGTTTGTTGAAATTGCAAGGCATGAAGACAACGGCATCATTCAAACGGGGTGAAATAATTTCACCGGTTCCGGCAGACTACATAGTTGAACAAGACGCGCTTGTTCTCTCGGATGGCTGTCGTCTGAGACACGAAACAGGATTTAACGCCACAATCATCAGCCGCTTTCTTATTGCCACGAAGGACCTTCAAATGGGCGAGGAAGTATTGGTCAATCTCAACGTGTTTTTCTACGACGTGGGAGATGAAAAGGCATTTTTGTTTTCAGGGTTCAAAAATCTCGCGGAGGAGGAAAAGCAGGAGGTCTATATGTATGCGGATGAAAATGTACGACAGCAGGCGATCGCGGACGGGTTTGTTCCAAATCGCAAAGAAAGTGGGATTGACGTGGTGCGGACACGAAATTCACAACTTGTGACCGTGTCGAGGGGGAGACACGAGGTAAATAACATCGTATTTAGCTCCACTGGTGTTTTGCTTCCATTCCCAGTGCGCAGTACGGTTGAGCTGCCGGGCGACCAGCACCTGCGTCTTACGGGGGGATCAGAGTTTATCCGTCACGCCTGTCAGCCAAACCTGCGCCTTGCGATTGAGGGTGACTCTATACACGGCATCGCTCTGCGACCCATAGAGGGGGGAGAACAACTGACATACAACTACCTATGCACAGAGTGGGATATTGCAGAGCCTTTTCATTGTGCTTGCAACACAGATTCCTGTTATAGATTCATAAGAGGTTTTTATTATTTGAATGCGGAAGAGAAGGCACTTCTATTTCCAATTGTAACGGCGGCAATTCAAGAAAAGTACCATGCAGCACTCCCACAAACTGCTTCTTTGGCATCCCTTGAAAAAACAACGGTAATAGCAGTTACCCTTGAGGGAAAGGTCGCTGCCCAACGATATGTGGCCTCTGGTACAGTATTGATGAATGTCAACCGCTTTTGTGTACGTTCTCGAGAAGTTGTTCTTGACAGTTTGCACATTCCACATAGTTGTGACGCAAATACCGCTCTATTGGAAGGCCGTTTGGTGGCATCTAAGCCTCTCCTTTCCGGTGACCCGCTCACACTGAACCTTTGTACATTATTTTATGAACTCCCGCTTCCATTTGAATGCCACTGTGGATCTTCAAATTGTGCTCGTCTTGTTAAAGGGTTTTCTACACTGAGTGAGGGTGATAAAAGTGGTCTCATTCCACTTGCTGAGCGATCCGTTCTTCTGGAAGCAGCACGCCATGGTTTGAATGTAGAAAGCTCTAGTCCACTTGTAAAGATAAGGCGGTATCCTCCCATGGGAGAGGTAACGTTTGCTGCAGATTTTATTCCAAAGGGTACTCGTATTTTTCATATGAGAGGCCTTGTTATCCCCTTTCCAACGGTTTATACGGTATACCTTGGGGACGGCAAACATTTACTTTTTGCAGACGGGGCGCATTGCTTGGCGCATAGTTGTGACCCCAACACGCGTCTTTCTATAGATGCCTCAAATGGAACCGCCAGTTGTTTTGCCATGCGTGACATTGAACCAGGGGAAATTGTTTCCTTCAATTATCTTACCTCCGAGTGGGATATGGCATCACCATTTAAGTGCGGCTGCGGAAGTGCATCATGTTTCAGTATGATAAAAGGGTTTCGTCACTTGGATGAGGAGAGCCAGTTGCGCCTCTGGCCTCATGCAACCAGTGGTGTGAAATCTCTTTTTGCCCAGCACCGTCGCAGTGCACTGCCGAATCTTGACAACTCGTTGGTCTATCTTCACGAGAATTTAAGTGAACTGCGTCTGGCGCGGGACTTGTCATCGGGCGTGGTACTTTTTACTGCCACAACATTTTGTATTGCTGCTGGGGAAGTTGTCTTGGACGATGTGCGGCTGAAGCATTCGTGTAGTCCCACAGCTGTATTCCTTGAGGGACGCGTTGTGTTGAGTCGTGCCTCACTCCGAGGGGATGCCGTAACACTTAATATCAATCACTTGGTCTACAATAGCCCGGTTTTTGCATGCCATTGTGGCTCGGCGAACTGCGTCGGTGAGGTGCGAGGATTCGCTGGTCTCACAGACGAACAAAAGAACACGGAGATGGTGTATGTCGATCCAAGGGTGCGGGCGGCGGCGGTGGAAAATGGATACCGCATCCAAAGCTCATGTCCACTGGTGGAGGTGAAGCCAAATGGATTTATGGGACAAGCGACATTTGCAAAGAGTGACATTCGGGAAGGGACTCGTTTTTTTGAAGTATCCGGTCTTGTTCTTCCCTTTGCAACAATTTACACAATCCTTCTGGTTGATGAGCAGCATCTTCTTTTTGCGGATGGGGCACAGTGCTTGGCGCACAGCTGTGATCCCAATGTCCGTATCATCACAGACAATACGAGAAAACGAATTGGATGTATTGCTCTTCGGGATATTAAAAAAGGTGAACTCATTTCTTTTAATTATCTTACAACAGAGTGGGATATGCAAACGCCATTCACATGTCTTTGTGGCGCACCGCTGTGTTACCGCGAAATACGAGGTTTTAAGTATCTGGGAGATGAAGCGCGACAAAAAATATGGTGTATGGCGACGCCAGGGATTAAATCTATGGTAATAGCTACAAAAGCGGAAGATACATGGGCCCAGATTGCATCTACACGTTTTTTTGTCAGTAACGATGGTCTGTTGCACGCTTCGGAAGATATGAAGGATGGAACAGTTCTTATGAAAGTTTCCTGCATGGAAATTGTAAGGGAGTTTCTCTCTCTTGATGGAATTCGAATCCGTCATCATTGCTCACCCAATGTAGCCGTCATTGAAAATCGAGTTGTCGTGATTTTTCCTGTCTCGGCAGGGGAGGAAATAAATGTCGATCTAAATTGCTTGAGTTATTTACTTTTGGAGGCGTTTGAGTGCAACTGTAGTCAATTTAAAAGCCCACATCTTATTCAAGGATTTAAATGGTTGAACGAAGAAAAGAAACATGCTTGCATGATATTCACAGAGCCCAGTGTACGCGCTGCAGCTCTGAAGGATGGTTACAAAATGAAGTGTGATTCCTCACTGATTAAAATATGCGAGGGTCGCACGGGATTGGAGGCACATGCCACTGCGAAATATACCCCGCTGGCACTCGTTTTATGGACCAATCCAAGGGCCTTTGGTTTACCGGTCCTCAACAGCCTTGCACAGGTACAATTGGGCGGAAGGTAAACATCTTCCTCCTTTTTG